CCACCCATCTGGCCACTCTCCACTCCCCTACCCCCTCACACACCACTACCTTCTACCGCACCCACCTCTGAAAAAATTTTTTTTTTTAAATTGAAAGAAAGAAAAAAAAACAAGAAAGAAAGAAAGAAAGAAAGAAAAACATATACGGTCAGATGGTGTAAACTTAAAGTAGGACCCATAGCATTCACACCACACTTTCCTTCACTTGTCTCTACTGTTCAGATTTCCATACCAACTTCCTTGAGAATTGCACTATTATCTTAAAGCCACAGCCAGATCGAAGCCCTATAATCACATTACTTTAAACAGGTTGTGCCACGCTGTGGCCGCAGGTTAATAGGTCGCCACCTCAGAATTACAAAGTCCTATCTGACATTCTGGGCCGTTTTGAGTTACTACTCTTATAAGACCATGAGGTGGGAAAGCAAATTTTTAATTCTCTATCTGTCTCTATTCCCTCTATTAAAATCGTAAGAATATTCGGGGTCGTTATCAAGATATTCAAAGAATTTTATTCGAAAAATCTAGACATGTTATTAATGTGAAACTCAAAAATTTTGACGTCAAGTTGCTCAAAACTAGGTATTGGACAGATAGAACTGTGTTATTCTAGGGTAGCGAGGTCTTGGTGCGTTAAAGTACCGCTCAGATTAATAGGATTAAGTCTTTGTAAAGGAGTGGGGATCTCAAACAATACGGCAAAACCAGGGCAGAAGTGGGGTGGTGCACGCCATAATGTGCAAAGAGCGTTTTATCCAGTGCCTAAAGGTCGGCGCGGTGTTTGACTTTCGCTCCAAGTGTGCTGGTTCGTGTATGTACACTATTATAATACCTTGTCAGAATAGAATCTGCTGCTGGGAGGTGGATGGTGGGTGCGTTCATACAGCAGAATAATGTGATACTTTACTCGGTGGAAAATGATTTATCTATCTATCTATCTATCTATCTATCTATCTATCTATCTATCTATCTATCTATCTATCTATCTATCTGTCCATCTGTCTATCTATCTATCTATCTGTCCATCTGTCTATCTATCTATCTATCTATCAATCGGTATCCTGTCTGTCTGTCTGTCTGTCTGTCTGTCTGTCTGTCTGTCTATCTGTCTGTCTGTCTGTCTGTATGTCTGTCTGTCTGCTTGTGTGCCTTCCTGCCTGCCTATCTATCTATCTATCTATCTATCTATCTATCTATCTATCTATCTATCTATCTATATGCATTAATGTATCGGATTGTGATGCTCAGTGGAGAACAAGAAATGATTTGATACTGTCTATCAATCATTTACACATCTGTTCATCTACGACATGTTTGTCTATGACAGTGATTTAGGAGCTCAATTCGTAGATCCTGATTTTTTGTTTTTGTCGTGCCCTCTGTTGTCTTTGACTGCCTTTTTTACCCTTCCCCAATACTAAAAAATTAGAAATTTATTGCGTCAATATTCTTCTCTTTGCTCAAACTCACTCTCAGAACTACTGTCTTTCCACCTGTCTAAGCACCATTCAGTACTCGTATATTCCTATTTTGCAGGTCATCTTCCCTTCTGACCCCCCTCCAGCATCTTTTTTTTGGTGGGGGGGGGGATTTAGATGTCCATCGTGTTTCTAACAGCGAGCTTTTTTTTTCTTTTATCGTTATATGGGTAGCGATGTGAAAGCAAACTGCATTTGTAAAGAAACAGGAGACAGCGTTCCTGTTTCTACGGTGATTTCTGTTTTAAAAAATGAAATGTTCTGTGTATATTAACCGGTGTCTTTGTGTAGCCTACTGTTTAGACTGTTTGGCCTTACCGACCCAAAGACATTAGATAAAACCTTTTTTTTTCACATTATGGAGTGCACCACTCTGCTTGTGCTTGTTTTTGTTTTTAATTGTTAAAACCTACACTTCTTCACAAAAACTTCATGTGAACACAGCAGGCCCCAGAACTGTACAAATTGAACATAACAGACCCAGTTGTGTATTATGTATGTCGTTACGCTCATAAGATAATTGCCCACATCATTTTTGGCCGGTTTGGAGTTTTTTGTTCTGAAATGAAGAGCAGAGCTAGCTCGGTAATATGTAGTTTGCTTGGACAAAAGAATAATCAAAATATAAAATCAATTAAATGTAACAACATTCAGATCTTTCAGAGTTCAGCTCGTCAGTTTTTTTAAAGAAACAAGGTTTTTCATCTCATTTTCTCAAAATGGCTAAAAATGACTTAGGCATTTATTTTATGACCGTCACAGTGTGAACCTAGCAGACCCAATCAACGTACATTGTGACATTGTGAACGCACCCCTTAAGTATCCTCACATTAAGCCGTCTGCTGAGAGCGAGAGTGGAGCAATGACGTCACCGGCTCAGCGCAATGACCACAGCTGGCTAGCCATGTTCCCTGGTTCTGTCTCCGGGGATTTACCGCCACAACAGAGACTCTCTCTCTCCCTCACACATACACATACATACTTACAAGTTACAGACTCCTGGATCAACATTACACTGTGTTGGTAGTGATGTCAAGACGTATAGATTTGTGATTCTGAAATCACAGCATAGGACAATGAAAAACAAGTACATGTAATACGTTTTGCTCAAGGACATTTTTTTCTCTTTTCACTAGTTAGTTTCAAGTGAGCTGATGAATTGCAGGTTAATTCTTTCTAAGGGATAACTTTTCTTACCAGTGTAGTACAATGTGAGCATAGAATATTTAGAAATATTGGTGGTCTATTTTGAACTCAAGCCTGGAAAATATCAATAAGTCAATCCCGGTCTTTTTGTGTGAAAAACCAATACGATCTATAAAGTACTGGTGGCTCCAGACAATCTTCGTTAATACGCGTCCTAACTTAAACTAGCCAGACAACTTCATTCATTTTTTTTTTTAGCCACTGAGATAACTTTTAAAACGGTTTCCTTTTAGACGTTGTAGTTAGTTCAGCGCTTTGAATACGGTAACCAAAGTTTAGAATAGGTCAAAGTAACCTGTTAGTATTTCAAAACCAAACGTCTTTTGCGCATAAAAAACAACACCGAAGCTGATCGATTCGATTATTTTTAAAAACAGTCAAACAGGATATGTCAAATACACATTTAAATGTATGTGTTTACATATTTGCATTAAAGTAAATCAACCATGGTGTCGAAGGGCTAAAGAAAATCGAGATCTTCTGTGATTTAATAGACGGATATTGAGGTAGCCGGACCTACCAGTGATAGCCTACCTACCTTCCGCCCTTCTTGGAACAGTGAGTGAGAAAAGTCGTCGACGAAATCGCCATCATGTCTCTGGCAGTAGGCACATGGGTACGGCCGGACTCCAGGTTCAAATCTCTTCCCAAACTGATGGACAGTGCGAGTCCGGCAAGGCCACCCAGGATCTTCGGACGGGTCATGACCCCGATTTTCCCGCGCTCGGCAGATATGGCCGTCCCCAAGTCCTCAACTCTTGAGTTTACGCGATCCAGGTGGGGGTTTGTGTGCGGCTTGTCTGTGTGTTATGCGCCATAGTGTGTGTGTGTGTGT